GAAATATCCTAATACAAAAGATACACATGGCGAAAAAGTAGACCAATGAAACAAGCTATGCTTTATTATTTTTTAGTATCTGGAAGTTTAATTCAAAGTTTTAGTAATACAAGTGTTGATTCAGGCTATAGATCGGACCATACCTTCCCAAAAAATACATTAAAGTTCAGCAAATTCAAAAAAAAGGTAAGGGATAATCGAAATTTAATAACTCTTTGTTGCATGACCAGGAATATCTTAACGTTGTAAATAATACTATAGCAACTATAAAAGCTCAATACTGTATCCCCATTTATAATCCTGAATAAAAAACATTTTTTTATACAAATTTACAGTAAGTAATAGATGACCAATTATTTTTAGAAACTTTGTTAATGGAAATAAGCGGCAAATAAATTTCTTACTCGTCATATAAAAAAAGCAAATTAACTTAAGAGAAAATTATCTATTAGATGAAATTCAGAAGCTTGAAAATAAGAATGACATAAATTTGGAACAGTTGGATAGAAAAAAAGGAATTAGAAAACAGTAGAACGCATAGGGTGAAGGGAAGTATAATTCGAGCAAAATTTAAGCTTTATGGTAAGATGAAGGAGAAAAAACAACAAATTATTTTTTCAGTATAGAAAATAGAAATTTTACATCAAAAATTATTCCAAAGCTGCCAATGAAAAATAATACTCCACTGTTGATAACGAAGTTAAAGAAATAGATTAAGATGACTTTCTAGATTTTGATGTGCCAAAATTGAATAAAGTAGAAGCTGACAGTTTAGAAGGATTAATAACACTAAAGGAGGCGTCTAAAACTCTTAGAAACATGGAAAATAACAAAAGCCCGGGTTCGGACGGATTTACTTCAGATTTCTTTTAATGTTTTTGGAAGCAGCTTTAAAACTTCGTGGTTAGGTCATTAACATATGGTTAATTAACTGGTCAGTTATCTGTTACTCAACGCCAGGGCATCATTACATGTATTCCTAAGGCAATAAATCAAAATATTTCATAAAAAATTGTCGGCCTATCCCTCTTTTAAATATTGTGTACAAAATTGCATCTGGATCTATAGCTAGTTAAATTAGTTTTAAAATTGATAAACTTGGATCAGACAGGTTTTATATCAGGACGTTATTTAGTGGAAAATACTAGGCTCATCTATGACATCATGCAATATGCTAAAGAAAATATTATCCATGGAATGCTATTATTAAATGTTATTGAAAAAGCGTTTGATTGGGTCTCTTAGAAATGTATAAATAAAGTACTTCAAATTTGGGAATGATTTGAGAAATTGGGTAAAAATATTACATTCTAATCCTTGTTCTGCAATTGATCAGGGGGTTACTTATCATCGTTCTTTAATATAAAACGGGGCTGTTTTATTGATATTGATGACTGTCAGATTCTAAATTCCCAATATGCAGACGACACTTCTTTAATACTAGATGGCACAGAAAAATCTTTGAAAGGAGCTGTTGAGGAACTAAATTTGTATGCTAAGATTTCTGGTCTAAAAGTAAATACAGGTAAAACCCAAATTGTTTGGTTAGGTAGCAAAATGTATAATAGTGATGTCCTTCTTCTAGATATGATTTTTTATTGGGGGGTTGACAAGTTTACACTTCTTGGTATTGAATTTGATGTGGATTTACACAGAATTCCTAAAATTAATTTTGATAAAAAAGAACTAGTTAAACTTAATACTTTAATCATGGGATGCAGTAAAAGAAAGCTTACTCCTATTGGGAGAATTTACATAATTAAGTCTTTATAAATTTCACAGATGAATGATCTTTTTATCTCCTTACCAAATCCAGATAAAAGATTCATAAAGCAGCTAAACTCAATTCCTTTCAGTTTTTTATGGAATGGTAAAAATGACAAAGTAAAGCGTGAGGTCATTATTCAGAATCATTTAGATGGAGAGCTTATATTGGTAAACATATTGAGTTTTATTGAATCTCCAAAATTCAGTTGGATCAGAAGGACATTTTGGTCAGAGGGAAAATTGCGTATGATTATAAAAAAACAAGTTAACTTTAATGTCATAGCTAATTGTGGTAGTGAGTATTTAATTAAGATTGGGACTTATTGTAAAAACACATTTGTGGAAGGATGTTTTTAAGGCATGGTATAGACGAAGAACTAAAGTAGAAATGTATAGAAAGAAGGATCATTCCTTATATAAGACACCCATATGGTATAACAAAAACATAACTATTGGAAATAATGACATTTTCTATAGAAAATGGTTCAATAAGGGGATTGCGATTATCAATTATTTAGTTAAAGATATTAGAACTTGTTCCTTTTTCTCTTTCAATGAATTTTGTACTTTTCATGGTTCAATAACAAATTATCTTCTGTATCAAGGATAGATAATGAGCATTAAGAAATACCTTAAGAATCACAATGTACCCAACAATATGTTGAGTTACCCAATCAAACCATTAAATCTTGACGTTATATTAGGAAATAAAAAGGATCACAGGAGTTCTATAAAGTTCTTATTCAAAATAATGTCACAGTAACAGGACAATTTAATGGGGAACTGTTTTGATTTCAATAAGAACACATGGAAACAAATGTATGCTGTTCCATTCAGGGTAACAAATAACCCAAAGTTACAATGGTTACAATTTCGAATAAATCATTACATTTTAACAACAAATTCATATTCATTTAAGATTCGACTAATATATAACCCTCTCTGTGTTTTATGTTTATGGAAAGGGATACAATTATTCATATCCTATGGGAGTGCACTGAAGTACAAAGCTTTTTGACAAATTTTGAAAATCTCTTAAATGCGCTTGCCATTCCATTTTAAAAAAAAAATTGGTTGTATCGAGCAAGCAGGAATTCATAATAGAATTGACAATGAAATTAATCCTTTTTATTAAGGATTATATATACAAAAATAGATGTTTGCACAGCTAACTTAATGTTATGGCTCTAGTAAATTTGATTAAAGAATATTACAATGTTCAGAAATATATTGCTTATGGTAAAAGGGAAAAATATCTCAATAAGTTTACTAAGGAATGGCGAAAATGGATAAAAGTAGTCGAACTTGCCTAAAAATTGATATTTTGTTCAATCACTTGCATTTTGTTATAAGTGAACTTTGTATTATCATAGGTATAGCATATATCAATCGGACCTTTACTCGGAAAATCTGACATCTCTATATTTCTGTCTGTCTCTCTATCTCTCTGCCTGTCTATGTCTGTGTGGATTTTGCATATGTCAGTATCTGTTGTTTTCTTTAATAGCAATAAAGGAATTTAACAAATGACGATGATGTTTGAATGTCATTTTTATGTCAAAATTGTTTATGTAAAATCTTTGAAAATAAACAATGATAAAAAAAACCAAAAAAAAAAAACTGTTCAATTTTAAAAAGGTTTTATGAATATATGTATTTTTTACTATAAATGTTAAAGTCTATAACGCCGTTAAACCATAAAAAGGTTTAAAATAGGATTACAAATATGACGTCCTTTCACAGACAAAAAGTTTGTAGTATATCATATGTTGGTGTGTTGGTTATTGTTATTCTACCCGAATTTGGGTCAGAATCGAGTCTTTCCCATGTTATGCAGGTGGGGTTAAAATAGCCATATAACACATACCTACACAATAATTGACTCTTTTTCCCCGTAGCTTTCAACTTACATTTTAGTAAACTGGGACATTGGCAATGCAACTACAACACTAACAATAGCAAAACCAAAGGTACAACCTAATTTAACTATTCCTGTAAGACCTTCAGGGGAAGCTCATAAACAGTTCTAATGTTTCTTCCTGAGGCGGTGTCACTTACCGATGTCAACATTACCAGTTAGTCAAACGACGTTTCGATGCGTTTTCAATTGCGACGTCATAATAAAATGCAGTCATCTGATTGTTACGACATAAAAGTGCAAGTCTCTGATTCACGTATTCATCGTTGGTATTCAACATTGGACACGATTATCTTTCATACACAGAGATAGATGAAAGTCTTATCATCAAAGTCACTTTTAATTCAATAATCATTCATTGACTAAAAATCAAAACATGTACTACTGCTACGTAATATAATAGCTTACAACCAACATATAATAAAAAGCAAAGTACTAATTTCTGAGTCACAACAATCACAAAAGTTGGTCTCAATGTTACAAATAAAAGTTAACCTCCGTCGTGCGTCATTGCTTTTTAATGTAAAACTGCTTTTGATATAGCTCTCTTTAATTAAATAATATTTACAACTGATTAAACTGCCGCCAAAACAGTCAGCTTATAAGCCAAAAACATCAGTAACGTAGTAAATTCACCCAGAAAAAAATCAAATTTTCTCTAACAGTATTTCATCGTCATATTGTATAGAATTGATACTGATGTGTTTCCGTTAAGAAAAAAACGTTTTTCTACAAAATATATATGCTCAAATGGAGCTTCTTAACACATAATCCTAAGTACCTAACATATCATCAATAAAAGGATAGTTTATTTAGAGCAGATTTAATTCTATTTAAACAGTATGTCAATGTTTTATTATATAAAACTAATATTGATATTGATCTCACTTACAGAACAACGTAGTATATCGCTACACAATCTAGCTATTAATACAGCATATATACACAAATTTCAACACGCCACATAAAGAATGATAGTAATACGATCAATACAAATAATTCTACAACTTTTCCTTAAATTTTATTATCTCGTTTTTATGAACTGTTATTGCTTATCTGTATATACGTCTGAAGACGTTTTTTTCGCGATCTTGTTTTCTGCTTCAAATGCGACTTATGATATCTGTTGATGGAAATACCCGTAAAAACACAATATTTTAGGAAGTTGTACATTATTATATAACATTGGTTGATGGAAATACAGGTAGAAAATACAATATTTAGGTGTCGCACATATTTATAAAATATCTGTTGTTGGAAATACTCATAGCAGAAACTATATTTTAGAAATCCGAAAATATTTATGTTATATCGGTCGACGGAAATACCCGTTGCGGAAACCATATTGTAGAAAGTAGGACATATTTTGTCAACTTCAGACGCAAAACCAAGCAAGATACATTTTCCGCAAACTAACCCTTTTGATTTATTTTCAACATTTGAATAATCAAGTGCATTTTGATTCAACTGGTTTGTTAGCATTATCCTGACGTGTGGTATAGTCTTTGTCCTCCAGGGAATCGTTGATCTTCGAATTGCATTTCTTCCCAGGAATAAGTATCAATATAATTACAAAAGCCACGATGACAGCTGCAGATCCGACGCCAACAATAAGCCCAGTGTTAGAACTTGAGGTCCGAGTTGAACTTTTGTGTGGTTCAGTCTCCTGTTAAAACGATAACAACAATACGTGTCTACGTTATTGAACAATAAAAAGAAAACTCATTAAGTGTTATATCTATAAACGTTAAAAGCAATAAGCAGTGACAAGAAATCCATGATTGATTTAGTGTCCATCATACTAAGATTTTCATTAGTTTTATAGATATTAGCTATTTTCTCTTTAAAACGTCATACAGCTTTGTTTAAGAATATCCTTTCATAGTTGTAACTTCAGAGTTAACGCAGCCATCTTTTTTTCCAAGTCAATCTCAAAATGGCACATACACAACTACAGATCGAGAAAGATAAGTCTAGTACTTCTCGAGAAATTGCGGTCAGAATTATTTACAAAATCCAAGACGGCTAATTTGAATCAATCTAGTTAATCCGATCATTTGAAACAAATGCACAATTACGGTTGAAGGGGAACCTACAAATACAATTGGAGAGGGATATCTGCAGTACTTCTTAAGTAATTACAATAATAAACTTGCACTTAGAATTCAAGTAGGCTGCTAGACGGCTGCCATACGGCTACCTTAATTTTTCCGATCAGTCTCGAAAAAAAACATGGACAACTCTAGTCCAAGTGGAAACTTAATATGAAATTTAGGACAGATTCGTCCAGTAACTTTATGAAAAAGTATTAATTTGAATTCATAGGTTTAGGAGCGGGGAATGGCACCATCATCAGTAAGCAAATGTTTCCTTTTATAAGTTAAAACAGTTTTTCGAATGGCATTGTTCTATCGTATAAATCTAAAATCATAAAAAAACCGATGACCAAGTGGTTAACTCGGGTGAAATTAAATACTATTGAAATGCTTTTTTTCTGTTAAACAAAACTCGAATATCACCAACATTGTGCTTGTTTTCGCCTGATCCTTGGTCTGTAATAAAATCAACAACATCCGCTTCTTGGTCTGATGCGATCACGCGCTGCGAAGTATCACATCCACTTCCGGCTGACGGCTTAGCATTGACAGTGAAGTTGTCTTGACAGCAGGTCCCACTACAACACACCGATTGTTTTCATGCGGCGTAAAACTTACAGGCTTAAAACTTAAACGTTAAAACATACATGTTCAATGATTATATGGTCATAAAAACGGTAAAATAGTTAAGTAGGACCGATTGGGTTTAAGCTGATTACCTTAACGAGCCGTTTAAACAATGTTCAATATATTATTTGGGCATATCAGTTATCAAGTACATTGTTTACGAAATATCGAATAATTCACAAATACTTGTTATATTTCTGGTAGTCGATGGTCATTTAGAATCCCTATTCATGCAGTTCTAGTTTTAGATTTTAATATTTTTGAAAATATACAAGTCAAACGATTTAATTGTTAACATCTATCTGACTTAAAATTATTTTAAAGGTGCATTTAAGACATATTTTTAAAATGAATTATCTTTGTTTAAAATTTCAGAACGATTATCACTAATAATACAAAAATATTAAACATGAATATCCTCACTTTACCTCACATGTAAACGTTTTCTATCTTTAGAGTCGATGCTCATCGAAACGTTTGCGACGTTGACGTATGTCGAAACATTGAATAAAAACACAGCTGTAGCCTCCCATGCATACTGCGAGCAATTAGTGCCTGTGTAAGCTTGTCTGCACTTCTTAGCCACGAAGGATGAACAGACGGCTCCAGCAAACTGCAAAAAGGCATTATAATAAACACAATAATTAAATTACTCTCCTCCTTTACTGTAACACCTGATTTAGAGACTATCTGTGTTAAAAAGACCATTTTTTAAATTTCCGCATTTATGTTACTTTTATGTTTACTTGACCTGCATTTAGAGACCATCTGTACAATGAGGATTTTCAAAAAGTGTTCTCGGAATTCATGTTTGGGATACAAAAACTAGCAATACATGTAATGCAGCATTGTTCGAAGGTAGTTCGGCATAAAAATAGAAATAAATCAACAGAATAGAGTGAGTTGCTTGATAGTGTTCTATATTGTCCTCTGGATGGTCTATTCCGAAGTCACGAAGGAGTCACTTTTCATTACGTTATTTGTGATTGGCAAAGCCAATTTTAGACTCAAAATAGTTTTATCATCTCAGGGTCACGTCATATTCCCCTCTTGTTTTCTTAAGCGTATTCGCGTAAATCCTTCCTTTATTTGTACTTTTATCAGGTTTCTTTTAGGATTTTATGAACGGTGTAACCTTATTGCATTGTTGGGTCTTAAACAAAAAACGAGTGGGATTATATGTAATGAATGCAATATACAAGGAACATACCATGACTGTAGATGTTGAAGATTGGAGGGCAGTTGTAGAGCCAGGCAGCTTCAAACTTACAGTGTATGTTCTACAAGTCAAATGTATTTTTGTTACAAAATTTGTTACATTTACGTATGTGCAGTAATATATATACATTAACATCATGTTAATAAATGAGAGATTTCTCCACTGCGTTCTTACATTGTTAATTTATCTTCAATTTGACATATCTTTAAAAATTCAATGAATTAAAATGTAAGATTGCCTCTTATTCGACCTATCTAACTTAAACATCTTTGTAAATATTTCATTCAAAGAAAATAAAATGTCACCTGTTTGAATGATCATTTCTGGCAATTGAAATGTTGACATTATGAAATATAAATGTGTATATTTGCCAATTTTCGTCACAAATATAAAAATGCATATATACCAAATTCTAGGGAATGAAACTGATTTATGCTATTAAAACATTAATTGCAGGTATAGAGCATACCAGAGTAAAAAAATCCTTGAGTTAGTTTTTAAAATGACATCTTTAGGAATACCAAAATCAATTCGTTAAATATTTATTTATTATCGTTTTTATCTTTTTACTAATACTAACACATATTCCAATTCAACGGAACTCGTCATCTGGAAACGTCCACCTGTAGAATTTCCAGCAAGCAATGTGTGCTGTCGAGATGTTGGACTCTGAAGTCTGCCTTTGTCATCGTCGATACTGACGGTATAGGTCTGTGTGGTGGCGCCCAGGTTACTCAGAGTATACGTAATGTTCTGTGCAATCCCAACGTCAAGGTTCCCTATTAGCAATATATACATGTATATATATGTATAACACAAAATGAATTAAAACCATTAGTATTCAATTATTATACAGTACAGATGGAAATATAATGATAATATAAGTATAATAATCTAGCGAATGATGTATTCTCTGATGTCTTTATTAAGGCACGATTGTCTAGTGGTAGGACTCCCGGCTTGTCACTGAAGTTTGCGGGTTCAAGTCACCTCACGGCACTGTGATGCATCTTTGAACAGGTCACGTTACTCTGGTTGTTCCATGCTACTCCGTTCTTAAAGTAGTACGTGGTTAGGTAATCCTTGGATGATTTAATGCTAGTTTTGATCACCGAAATGGCATTATCGGCTGTATGCCTCTCCAGGGAGTTGCGAAAGATATTGGCTGGTTTCAAAGACCTTATAATCACGGATAATAATGTATGAACTGCTTTGAGACGACCAACGAACTAGGTTGTGATAAAGCGGTTTATTAGAACATCGAACTGTCATTATTATTATTATTCATCGCTTAAATATGCTATACTTATTTGAGTATTTTAATATATCTAATTAATGTTATCCTGGAATTATTTTCGAAAATATATGTACCTGTAAAAAATGCCTCTGCAACTCTCGTGCTCTCCAATAAAGAATATCCCCTCTGGCTTGGGTTCCTTTATTGCATCGCCAAAGGGGTTGTAATATTTTTTTAGTGTACATGATACCGTCGGCAAGGGAATTTAATAATTCCAGCGGTCATAATTTAAAAAGGTAATATTCTTACCGAATATGTGTTGTACGAAAAAGTCCACGCCCACAGGTGTTATCAATTTTCTAGACATTCTTTTGAATTTGATGCCATTTTGATCGATACCACTTAGCTGCACGTAGAAATTCTGCAACATAAATAGATTATCTGTAAAGCCGTCTTCATTTTTTTAAATTTCATTTACATGTGTTTTGGAAATTGACTTGGTCGATCGTTTGCTACTAGGAATTTACATTGGTTAAAGAATTAGTCTGGAGCTCGGAGGGTTCAACATTCGATTCCAATTCTATCCGTACATGTCTATGCTCCTGCTACAACAGGTATATTTATTCCTTTAGACATGTCTCATACTGTTTTTGCGATGGATAAGATGAAAATAGAAGCACTATGTAGGTGCATAAAAATAAAACAGTGTTTATTGTGTACTTGAAATGTGAAATTAGAATATGATATTCAGTCAGAACGAGAGAGAGAGGGGTTATTTGAAAATAAGAAAATGTCATCCGCCTTTTATACTCTGTTGTATGACATGTTTAACATGAATATGTAAGTGGAGATAATCTACGTTCACTGAATGATAAGAGTTATGATATTAAAAAAAAGATGAAAAACTTGTATATGTGACATAAAGAACTGAATGTGACTATACACTCTTGGAAAATATCTTGATAATATATCTCTGGTTTCACTAATGATTATAGTACTATGTTGACTAAAAATAATGTTTTTGCTGCAAACCGGTGCTGGTAAATCGCATCCTGTTCTCTGAGTGTCGCTTTTATTGTACTTGCTCCATGTTTCTCTGTAATTGTATGTGCGGGAACTAGTATATCGCAAACCAACTTCCGGTTAGTCAACTAGAAGCTAGGAAGCGATGACATGTTTTATTATGTTTATTTAGGACCGAAAAGTCATGGTTGATACATAATTTGTAAGATATGAGGTTTCACTGGTGTCGTCAAAGTCAGTAGTTTTTATTTATTTAACATGACTGGTACTGAAAATCAATATCAGTTTCTTTACTTTACTCGCTGGTTGTTGCAAGAGTTTTTCTATTGGGCGGATATTAGTATTACCTATCATACTTCCGGTTTGTTAATTGGCTTGCTCGCAGGCACAGGCTCTAGATCTTTTCAGAGGGATGTGATGGTGTAAGTTAAACATTAATGAATCAGTTATTATAGTAACTTAGATTAGCTGTTCAGATTTTCTATTGATATACAACAGATTGTCTTCTCATTCATTTATGATTACATTTTTTCTTCTCTCGCCAGCCACAGGGGTTTGGTGTGGGTGTCTGGAGTGCACATGCTGTGCTGATATGTGTCACAACACGCATAAACAATATTATCAGTAAAGCATGTGTGTAATTCATGCATTTTCCAGTGATCCAGCTGCAGTTAACTAATGGTTAGCTTTTTTCTCGCATCCCAAAGTTTATGTTATTGGTGGAATAAGGTGATGATACACATATTGAAGGCTGATTTTCGTGACTTGCACTACTTTTTGGGTAATATTTTCATTTATTTTTTAAACATTTAAGCAAAATTTACGGATATTTTTTTCTTCTTTCTATCCTAGACCAAGTCTGACTTTACGGAGATACACATTATTGTGACAGTGTCTCTAGTTTTTATTCAGTAATCCAAAATGCAAGGGTATTATGCTTATATATGTTTTGTGTTGTTGTTGTTGAGTTTTATGTGTCATTTGTCTGTGTGGGAGGTTATTTACTTAAATACCATAACTGATAAGAAATGGGGTCAAGTACAGGATCACCCAAGGGTGTGCTCTGGTAATTTCTGGATAAGTGATCATGGCTAATTTTGAGATATTGTCTTTGAATGTCAGGGGGTTGTATTCATGTAAAAGAAAAAGAGTTGATCTGTTTAATTGGATAAAAGCGAAGAAAAAATCAGTTGTGTTTTTGCAGGAAACGCATAGTTGTGAAGAAATTGAAACCCAGTGGGAAGATGAATGGGGTGGTAAAGGTATTTTTAGTCATGGAAGTACATCAAGTGCAGGAGTAGCAATTTGTTTTGGATATGAAGCAGATATTGAGATACATAGTGAAATTATAGACTCAGAGGGAAGATCCATTATATTAGATGTTTCACTTAATGGAACCAGGATAACATTAATAAATTTATATGGGCCGAATGATGATAAGCCAAATTTCTTTGAAACTATATATAGAAGAATCAGACTGATTTCAAATACTAAAATAATAATGGGAGGTGACTGGAATTTGGTACAGGATATGGAAAAAGATACACATAATATTATGCATGAGAGTCATAGACTAGCCAGAGAACTTATTGATAAGAGTATGGAAGAATTTGAATTATTTGATTTTTGGAGAATCCAAAATTCTGAGAAAAAAATGTACACATGGCGAAGGAAAAACCCAATTAAACAAAGTCGGTTAGATTACTTCTTAGTTTCACAAGATTTACTTAACATTGTTACAAAATCTAGTATCACACCCGGTTATAAGACTGACCATTCCTGTATATCACTAGCTTGCATTAATAAAGAAAATATGAGAGGAAAGGGGTATTGGAAATTTAACTCAAAATTATTAAATGATCAGAATTGGGTAGATTTAGCAAACCAATGCATTAGGGACACAATAGAAGAGTACCTGATAGAGGGGGATTTAGATGCATTAGAGAACATAAATTTAAGGGTAAATGACCAAATGATGTTTGAAATAATCAAAATGAAGATTAGAAGTCTAACAATAGAATACTCAATTCAAATTTCAAAAGAAAAGAAAAAGAAAGAAAGGATGATCTCTGAAAAAATACAAAACATTGAGAAATTAATGAACAGTCAACCTACTAATCAGTTATACGAAGCATTAGAAAAAGAAAACAGGGCTTTATCAGATATAAGGAAGGAAAAGACTGAAGGAATCATTATTAGATCAAAGGTTACATGGTATGAGAAAGGGGAAAAAGGTTCAGATTTTTTTTGTAATCTTGAAAAACAAAACTATTTGAATAAAACTATAACTGAATTGATAAATGAAAATGGAAAACATATTACAGATACAACAGAAATACTTGAAGAAGAAAAGCAGTTTTTTAGAAATCTTTATACAAGTAAAATGGCATGCAATAATGATTCACCTCTATTTAATCATGGGAAATATTTACAACAGGTAGAAAAGGAAAGTTGTGAAGGTCTAATTACAATTGGTGAATGTAGTAAAGCACTAGCTAATATGAAAAATGGAAAAAGTCCGGGATCGGATGGGTTTACCAGTGAGTTTTACAAATTTTTTTGGAAAGATTTGAAATATTTTGTATATAAATCTATAAATTATGCATATACTCATGGCTCATTATCAGAATTTCAAAACCAGGGAATTATAACATGTATTCCAAAAGAATCCAAAGACAGAAGATTTATAAAAAACTGGAGACCTTTAACTTTACTTAATACTGACTATAAAATTGCTTCTTCTGCTATAGCAAACCGGTTTAAAACAGTACTGCCTTCAATTATAAATGATACACAGAAAGGCTTTATGAGGAATAGATTTATTGGAGAAAATACAAAATTAGTATATGATATAATGCATGAATTAGAAGAAAAAAATATGTCTGGTTTGTTGCTACTTGTTGATTTTGAAAAAGCCTTTGACTCGATAGAATGGAGTTTTATTCATAGGTCTTTACAATCTTTCAATTTTGGTGAATCTTTCATTAAATGGAAACATATTTTCTATCATAATGCAAAAAGCAGAATAATTAATAATGGGTATTTTTCATCATGTTTGGATGTAAAACGTGGATGTAGACAAGGGGATCCCATCTCCACATATCTATTCCTGATAGGTGTTGAAATTTTGGCTATACAATTGAAACAAAATCAAAGTATCGAAGGTGTACAAATAAACAATAGAGAATATTTGCTTGGTCAATATGCAGATGATGCCTTTTTATTCCTAGATGGTTCTTCAAAGTCATTGTCAAGTACTATAAATGACTTCAGTATATTTTCTACAGTATCTGGACTTAAACTTAACATAGATAAGTGTCGATTGATATGGATCGGAAACAAGAAATACTCAGAAGAGGTTTTATGCCCTGACCACAAATTTGATTGGTCTTCAAAAAACTTCAAACTTCTTGGAAATATTTTTTCTTTAAAGTTATCTGAAATCATTGAATTAAATTTTAAAGAAAAGCTATCAAAAATAAGAAAATTGCTTGGAATGTGGTCTAAAAGAAATCTTACTCTTTTAGGAAAGATCACAGTTGTTAAAACACTGGCATTACCACTTATAACACATCTACTGTATTCACTGCCAAATCCAGGTAAAAAATGGATAAGCGAAATTAACACAGCTTTTTATAGATTTATATGGGAGTACAAACCTGACAAAATCAAACGGGATACAATGATTCTTGAATATGGAGAAGGAGGTTTAAAGATGATACACATTGAAAGTTTTATGAAATACCTGAAAATTAAGTGGGTGAAAAGGCTATATGATGGAAATGGGGACTGGCAAAGTTTAGCAAAATCTAATTTTAGTAAATTTGGAGGGGAGAGATTATGGAATCTGAAAAAATCAAAACTGGAGGAAATATCGAAAAATGTAACTAATGTTTTCTGGAAAGATGTTATTTTAGCATGGAAAGAATATAAAGATGATAATAATGAAGTATC